TTTTTCTTTTTGCTTATGTGGTGCTGAGGAATCGAACCCAGGGCCTCATGCATGCAAGGCAAGCACTCTACCATTGAGCCACCTTCCCAGCCCCATGGAACATGTGTTTATATCACTTATTTGCCTCTCAGCTAAGATCAAATGAAGAGGTATTTGCTTATAATCCCAGCTTCTTAGGAAGCTGAGACAGCAGGATCACCTGAGCCCAACGGGCAAACAATAATGTGAACTGCCAAATCTTAAAAATTGGGCAACTTTATATCCAAAGATTAGAATATTTTCTATCTAAACAATATATTAAAGGCATACAAAATATTTTAAAATGTATTTGTTCATCCCTACTTTTTCACTCAAGTTCTGGCACGCTTAAGCCCCATAGGTCCCCTTCCAGCTTTTTGCTGGTTAATTGGAGGTAAAAAGTCTCAAGATCTTTCTGCCCAGGATGGCTTTGAACTGTAATCCTCAGATCTCAGCCTCCTGAGTAGGTAGGATTAAAGCCATAAAGCCATCTAGGTTGGGCTAAAATTAAAGTTTTTTGTTGTTGTTGTTTTTTGGCCAGTCCTGGGGCTTGAACTCAGGGCCTGGGCACCGTCCCTAAGCTTCTTTTGCTCAAAGCTAGTGCTCTACCACTTGGGTTACAGCACTCACTTCCAGCTTTTTCTGTTTATGTGGTGATGAGGAATTGAACCCAGGGCCTCATGCATGTGAGGCAAGCACTCTACCACTGAGCCACATTCCAAGCCCAAAAGTATTTTTTAATATGTCAAATAGCATATATTCTCCTGAATCTATAGACTAAATATTTTAAAACCTAGGTGCTTAACAGAAGTACACAAACCTTTTAGATTATAGGTAAGGATGAAGATCTGAGCTAAAACATTAAAATAATAGACCAGTAAGATTTACTGAGATAATAGAAGGGTTTTTCTTAAAGGTACAAGTCCCTATTCATTAAATTTTATGATTTTCATTCTTCTATCTACATAGCATTTGCTCTCCAGGGAATAAGTTTATTTACAAAGATGCTAATAGTGCTGTGGAGGACTACTCTATCAGACTGTGATTTAGAAAAATAATGGCCACCGTGGGTCTTTTCTAACCAATTACGATAAGCTGAATTTGATTATCCTTCTAACCCACCTTGGGTCATTACCACCAGATCTCCTCTGAACAAAATTCAAACCATAATAAATAGCTGAGAACTCTACTTGAAATTAATTATGTTACATACCAACACTTCGGTACTTTTCAGTCGTTCACATGTAGACAAACAGTCTTTTGTATTTTTCCTTGGAGAACAGTTTTGAGATTTTTCTTCAGTTGAATCTTCTTTCTTATCCTGCTCATTTTTTAATTTGTCTAACTTTTTGCATTTGAAACCTTCGTTATCTTTATGGAGATAATTTTCTATGCTATTAAGGTGAGTATTTTGATCGCATGTCTTGGGCTTTTTTGAGTCTTTATTTGAACAATTATTTTCACACTTGTTCAAATATTCAGACATTTCCCACATATTGGCTTTTATTCGTGAGTCAACTGTTTTTGAATTATCAAGTTGGAGACTATCAAAAGAGTCCGGATTACAATTCTCATTTTTTAGTATTTTTTCCTTATATTTATTTGTACAAATCTTTTTTTCAATACTGCTGCATTTTGAATACTGTTTGTCAACTGCATTACTAATTTCTTGCTCCTTAAACTGGGTCTCCGAAAGTGTATTTTCTAATCTGCTCAGCAAATCTAAGTTATTTTCCTTGCAATGAGACACATTCAAGGAAGTGGATAAACTAGTAACTTTGTTCTGTGTCTCCTGACACACGCTTTGGATGATTTCAGTAGCATTGTTCTGACACTGGTTTCTTATTTGAGGTTTCAAAGAAGACTTTTCTTTACTGTTGCATTTAAAAGAACTGAACGGTTTTCTAGGTATCAAGTTTTCCCCATCACTGCTGTCTCCTAGCAAGGAAAATTTTCCATGGGAAACAGACACAGAGCCATCATCTTTATTTGTCTTCAACAATTGCTTGTCTTCATAGGAGCTCCTAAATACCTTGGAAAGACCTGAAGTGGAATCCAGCATGGTGAAGGTGGGCCGGGGAACACGTGATGTCGCAGGATCAATGTGCTCCAAGTGCTGGGCAATTCTCGCAATGACATCCTGCCGCTCCTGCAGCAGAGAGCCAATCAGAGGATTCGCCTCTCCAGTAGACAGCCGACAGTAAGGCCCACTGGACATACAAGTTTCACTCCGTGGAGTTTCTGCTTTTACCTGAGTTTTCCCTTCATGGGTGTCTTCTGAGGTCAAGTCTGGACTACCAAAAGAAACGGAGAAAGTGTCTTTACATTTTCTTACATTTTCATTCTCTTGGTAAATTTTTGAATTCAGTGGACTAGAGCCTTGAGTATTAAATGGTGGGCCAGAAATATTTGAAGGGCTTGGGTCACAATGAATCAAATGCTGAGCAATCCTTGCAATCACTTCCTGTCGATCCTGAATTAAAGAGTCTATTAAAGGGTTAGTCTCCCCACCTGACTGCCAGGAACTCTGGCGGCTAGAAACACCAGAACCAGTCAGTGAAAATGATTTTAAAGTTCTCACGGATGCTTCATGTGACTTTCTATCTCCCATGCCACCAAATCCCAGAATGTTGGCTTGAGATGTCCCATGGTCACGTTTACTGCCAGGGCCAGGATACAGTTTGACATTTTTGATGGCTGTAGTATACTCAGAAGTTGTGCCATGTTTCACGTGTAGGACACTTTCAGGGCCCATGGTCCATGTTGGTTTGCTGCACAGACGTTGGGAACTGTTTGGACTACTTTGCTCTACTTCATTAGGATTGCAGTGCTGATGGTTTTTAAGTTCATGCTCTTGACTTCTTTTCTCATAAAGACCAATGTTGGTGTGAATACTACATGTCAAAACCGGGTAATTGGACTGCCTGGGTAAGGACTGAACGCTGACTTTCAAGGCCACATTGTGAGAAATGTTGGGAACAGGGAACACATGTTCTATTGGAGACTGTGAAAAATTCCACTGGAGGTCGATGTCAGCAGCACTGATTCTAGAATCAAACAGAAAAGTACAGAAGCAGTAGATTGTAAATATTAGGTCCATCATTCTATTTAAATTATGTAAATACTGTTTTTTTTAAGTGCCAGGTACTTACAATCCTTGCTACTCATGAGACTGACAAATTCAATTAACCAGCACAAAGCTATAACTGGAGGCATGGCTCAATGGTACAGCACCAGCCACAGCAAAAAAGCCAAATGAGTGTATGAGGTCCTAAGTTCAAGGTCCAGTACCAGCCAAAAAAATTTTTTTAAAAGGTAGTCATCTTTGTTTGCATTAATTACCACTGAGGTTAATTTTGAGCCACCTGGATATGCATATTATTCTGAGAATATAACATAAGTGGTATAACATACTTGAAGATCTGATTTTTTTTTGTATCACTGAGATTTGAACTCAGGTTTCAAGCTTGCTAAATAATAACTTTACTTCTTAAGTCACATCTACAGCATTTTTTTTTTGTCGGTCGTGGGGCTTGAACTCTGGGCTTGGGCGCTGTCCCTCAGCTCTTCAGCTCAAGGCAAGCGCTCTACCACTTGAGCTACAGCGCCATTTCCGGTTTTCTGGTGGTTTATTGGAGATAGGAGTCTCACGGTCTCTCCTGCCCGGGCTGGCTTTGAACCGCGATCCTCAGATCTCAGCCTCCTGAGTAGCTAGGATTACAAGCGTGAGCCACCAGCGCCCGGCTACAGCATTTTTTACACTAGTTATTTTTGAGATAGGCCTTTGGGTTTTTTTTGTTTGTTTTTCAGGCTTTCCTGCACTGTGGTCTTTCCATTGTAGCTTAGATGGTAAGTATGCACTACCACTCCCAGCTTTTATTGGTTGAGATAGGCCTCATAAAACTTCTGCCAAGATTGGTCTACAACTGCAATCTTCTTGATCTCACCCCTGAGTAGCTTGGATCACAGGCACACGAGCTATCAGCATACAGGCAAGATGATCTTCTTTTTAAGAGATCTGACAACTTAAGTATTAAAGTTCAAGAATATTATAAGCAACAATATTTGTCAAAAATAGAAAGGAGTCTGTATTTACTAGTATAAAAATTGATTTAGCTCATTTTATTGTGTAAGCTGATTAAGATAAATATCTCATGGCCACCTGCCTAAAAAGGCAATTAGTTGCTTGGCAACCTATATGTTTATGTTTGGGTATACAACACACAGAGATTTTTTTGAGGCAAGCTATCATTCTGTTGCCCAGGCTGTCTTAAACTTCTAGGCTTAAGTGATCCTCCAGCACTGGCCTCCTGAGTCATTGAGACTACAAGCACACTCAACTATGACCAGATATGTTTATATTTATTTGTGTGTATGTATGTGTGTCTGTGTCTATGTGTGTCTGTGTATGCTCCAGTCCTGGGGCTTGAACTCAGGGGCTGGGTGTCAAGCCTAAGTTTTGTGCTCAAGGCTAGTGCTCTACCAATTGAGCAATAGCTCAATTTTTGGCTTTTTTGTGGTTAATTGGAGTTAACACTTGGGGACTTTCCTGTCCAGGCTGGCTTTGAACCACACTCTCCTCAGATCTCAGTTAGTTAGGAGTAAGTGAGCCACCAGCACCTGGCATGTTTATATTTTTCAAAATGACAAAATTTAAGATGTCATTATAGAATTTCAGAAGCCCGGGGCTGGGAAGGTGGCTCAGTGGTAGAGCACTTGCCTGGCATGCATGAGGCCCTGGGTTTGATTCCTCAGCACCACATAAACAAAAAGAAAAAAGCCAGAAGTGGTGTTGTGGCTCAAGTGGAAGAGTGCTAGCCTTGAGCTGAAGAGCTGAGGGACAGCACCCAAGCCCAGAGTTCAGGACCCACGACCTGATCACCACCCCCCCAAAAAAAAGAATTTCAGAAGCCCAGGATCTAATGGTAGCATTAGATCTCTTCTTGGTTCTCTAACATAAGCTTAAAAGTTCTCTTCTCAGGAGGCTGAGATCTGAGGATTGCAGTTCAAAGCCAGCCTGGGCAGGAAAGTCCGTAAACCTCTTATCTCCAATAAACCACCAGAAAACTGGAAGTGGTGCTGTAGCTCAAGCAGTAGAGCGCTAGCCTTGAGCTGAAGAGCTGAGGGACAGCGCTCAGGTCCAGAGTTCAAGCCCCTTGACCGACAAAAAAAAAAAAGTTCTCTTATTCTGTACCAAATTTAACCCAACAAACAAAATCCATACTGATGCAATCTAAAAAAAATTTCTCTTATTTTGAGAAAAACATCATTAAATTTTTATTTTATTCATTTATTTATTTTGTTGGTCATGGGGCTTGAACTCTGGGCCTGGATGCAATCCCAGAAGCTCTTCAGTTCAAGGCAAGTGCTCTACTACTTGAGCCACAGCTCCATTTCCAGCTTTTTTGAGTAGTTTATTGGAGATAAGAGTCTCATGGACTTTCCTCCCTGGGCTAGCTTTGAATCACAGTCTTCAGATTTCAGCTTCCTGAGTAGCTAGGATTATAGGCATGAGCCACAAGCACCCAGCTAACATCATTAAATTTTATCATCTTATATTTAGAAATGAAAAAAATACATTTAAAAGGTAAAATATCCTTTGGTCAGCTAAACAGTGTGAGTACTGTTCCTTTTTTTTTTTTTTTGCCTTAGACATACCTGTAAAGAATATTTCGTGGAATAGCACCATGAGAAACACTCAGCCACGCACTTAACTGAGAAAAAAACACAAAGGAGCGGACAGCCAACAGAAGGGTCTTCTCTTCAACGAATCGCTCACCATTCCTGAGGGAAGTAACAAAGCATAATCTAAATGTCAGCAAGTAGGCATTGACTAAGTTTTAAGGAAGAGAAAACCTGGAACTAAGACAACTCAGGACATGTGCTTTCAAAAGCATTTGTCAATGCCTTGGATTATTAACATACAGGGATCCAAAGAAATGACAGAGGTAATTTTTAGGATGTAGGGGAGAGGTTGATACATTGAGTCTAACAACTTACTGCCGAGGAACTGGTTCCAGGATCCATCTTTCGAGTAACAACGCGTCCTGCTTAATGGCAGGGTCATTCAGATCAGCCCCTTCTGTACTGGGCCCGTCGTCACTGTAGCAGCAGTCTGGCAGCAGCATTACCTCCACCATGATGGGCAGGTTGTTCTTCCACAGCAGGGTGACCTCAGACCTGGTGCGTCTGGCTTGGCGACACTTAAGACAAAACAAAGATGAACAACTCATCTCAATTATCATCCTAATTTTGTGTTCAAATTTGAATGTTGCATTGAAAAAACAAATCATCCCCTGCAGAACTTTGCTAAAGCTTTGCTATACAGAATGGCTTGTTAAATTATGTATTCAGGATAATAAGTGAGCACAGGATTGGTAGTGAATATTAATATGCAAATTTCCTGGGGTGGGAATATCTTTGCACTATTTTGTAGAAAACAAAACTTCCATACACTATATCTGATGGATTCCTGATTTGCCCCCACCTTGCCTACTTTATTAATTTCACTATTATTTCATAGAAAAGATTACATTAAATTTTAAGATCACAGGTATCAAATTTTTATTTTCATTAAACATTCAAACAGGCAATACTTTTTTTGTGTGTGCGAGTTCTGGGGGCTTAAACTCAGGGCCTGGGTGCTGTCCTTGAGTTTTTCTCTCAAGGCTAGTGCCTGGAGCCATAGCTCCACTTTGGGCTTTTTCGATGCTTAACTGGAATCTCACAGACTTTCTTGCCTAGGCTGGCCTCAAACCAGGATCTTCAGATCAGATATGAGCCATTGGCACCCAGCTTAGGTACGATTTTTAAGTTTAAAATCTTGGACCGTATTTCAGAAACTAGTAACTTTAAAGCAGACTGGGTGCCAGAAGCTCAAACCTGTAATCTTACCTACTCAACTTTTCTAAGAAGAAAAGTTCTAAAGGAAAAAAAAGTCCAAGAGATCCCATCTCCAAAATAACCAGCAAGACAAACTGAAGCTGGGTGCCAGTGGCTCACTCCTATAATCCTAACTACTAAAGAGAGTAAGATCTGAGGATAGTGGTTCAAAGCCAGCCCAGGCAAGAAAATCCATGAGACTCTCTTTATCTCCAATTAACCACTAGAAAAAACAGAAGTCACACTGTGGCTCAAAGTGGTAGTAGATGCTAGCCTTGAATAAAAAAGCGCAGAGAGAGCACTCAAGCCTCACCACCAAAATAAAGAAAACCAAACCACAGCAATGAAGACAGTCCAATTTAGAAATACTGAAAGGGTAGATTTGAAATTGACTACCCTCCTTTCCCAATGATCAGCAGAGCTACCCATAATGCTCTTGTTTAAGAGCCAATTTTTAATAAAGGTGATGGCAGAATTTAAACTAGTTTACATAAAAGACAGAAAAAGCATTCACCACATGCTTCTCACCTGGGCCAGCTTGTCATTGCATTCATGTTTGGTGGTTACTGGGTAACAAGACTGTGCAGGAGGGCAGTGGAAACTTTCCGTTCGACCTTTTACAGAACATTCAGGCGTTCGTCCTTCAGTTATTAGCAAGGCCAGAGAGACCAAGAACTCTTCAGCATCGTATTCAAAATATTCATCCAGGGTATCTGAAATTTAAAAAAGAAAACTATGTTTGCAGTCAACCTATTCACCACTTTAATGTTTTTCTTCAGTGCTAGGGATTGAAACCAGGACTCTACAGGCACTAGGAAGGTCTCCGTCACTGAACTACACACCATTCTTAAAGTACTCTTAATGAGAACTCATTTGGATGAGCATGACGGCACATGCTTATAATCCCAGTACTTGGGAGGCTAAGGAAGGATAGTGAGTTCCATATCAGCCTGAGCGAAAGAGAAAGAGATGTTGCCAGACAGTGAGAGAGATCCCATCAGATAGAGAGAGAAAAAAAGACCCTGTCAAAATTGATAAAGATTGATTGATTTACACAATCTATCTCAAAAAGTACTTTGTGTTTTTTTTTTTTGTTTTATTTTGTTTTTTGTCAGTCCTGGGGTTTGAACTCCGGGCCTGGACACTGTCCCTGGACTTCTTTTGCTCAAGGCTAGCACTCTACCACTTGAGCCACAGGGCCACCGATGGCTTTTTCTGTGTATATGGTACTGAGGACTGGAACCCAAGGCTTTATACATGCAAGGCAAGCAAGCTACTACTAAGCCACATTCCCAGCCCCTATTTTTTTTTTTTTTGGGTCCGGTTGTGGGGCCTGAACTCTGGGCCTGGGCTCTGTCCCTCAGCTCTTCAGCTCAAGGCTAGCGCTCTACCACTTGAGCCACAGCGCCACAGCGCCACTTCCGGCTTTTTTCTTTTTGCTTATGTGGTGCTGAGGAATCGAACCCAGGGCCTTGGGTATGCAAGGCAAGCGCTCTACCACTGAACCACCTTCCCAGCCCCAGCCCTATATTTTTAAATCTTACGTTAATATGTAGTTTACAGTTGTCAATATAGTTAGGCAGTCTTTCCCAAATTTCACAGTATTGTACAATAGTGATCCTTAGTTAAAGTCACAAACACATTCTAACATTCATGGGGCAAATTGTCTATCATGGTCTATAACATTTGAGTTCTATAAGCTTTGCTATACAGTTATTTCTTCCACATTGGGTGATATGTACATTTCTTGTGTTTTGCATAACATCAGCTGTTCCCTCTTTCCCACTTGTTCCCTCCCTCCCATTGCTGCCATTTTGTTGCTTAGTTCATTTTGGTCAATGTCCAATGCAGCTGATGGGTCCCATTGTTGTATGTTTTTTCCCTGATTCCCTCTAGTTCTGCATTGTCCTCCTGGTTTCCCTCCAGTGTGCACATATGTACCATATATGTGATCAGCCGCATGGGGTTATTTAGTAGTGATTCGACCAGATGAGTGGAAGTCCTTTGTTTCTTAAGTCTTGTTAATTTTGTCTTATCACTTTACATTTTGGTTTTAACATCCACTTATCAGGGAGACCATGTGCCGTTTGTCTCTTTGTACTTGGCTTACCTCGCTCAACATGATTTCTTCTAGCTCCATCCATTTCCCTACAAATGCCATTATTTTGTCCTTTCTAATGGCTATATAATATTCCATTGTGTATAGATACCACAATTTTTGGATAGTTAGGCAGCCTTTTAAAATGTAAAGTTCGCTTTGTAAGAGAGTCTATCATTCTTTTTTTGTCGGTTATGGGGCATGAACTCTGGTCCTGTGCACTGACTCTGAACTCTTCAGCTCAAGGCGAGCACTCTACCACTAGCTACCTTCCCAGCCCTGAGAGTTTATCATTCTTTTAAATCCAAATCCAGAACCTACCGACTACAGCATACACCTAGTTGATCACCCCCTTCCTCATCATTCCCTGGTGACATCTGCAGGTTTGTGACATGAGGAGAACACTACTGGGTATATGCCTTCCCCCAAACACACAGCACCAAAGCCTGGCTAAAAAATGTTAACAATTCAGGGCTGGGAAGGTGGCTCAGTGGTAGAGTGCTTGCCTTGCATGCATGAGGCCCTGAGTTCGATTCCTCAGCACAACATATGCAGAAAAAGCTGGAAGTGTTGCTGTGGCTCAAGTGATAGAGTGCTAGCCTTGAGCTGAAGAGCTGAGAGATAATGCCCAGGTCCAGAACTGGCAAAAAAAAAAAAAAAAGGTTAGCAATGCAACCTAGGGCCTTATACAGGAAACACACTAAGCAGTACCCCTAAAACTTTTTTTTTGGGGGGGGTCAGTAGTGAAGCTTGAACTCTAGGCCTCAGCTCTTCTGCTCAAGGCAAGAGCTCTACCACTTGAGACACAGAACCACTTCCAGTTTTCTGGTGGTTAATTGGAAATAAGTGTCTCACAGACTTTCCTGCCCAGGCTGGCTTTGAACCGCAATCCTCAGATCTCAACCTCCTGAGTAGCTAGGATTACAGGCCTGAGCCACTGGTGCCTGGCCATCTTGTAAAACTTTTTAAACACCACTGTTCTCAATATAGTAGCCTAAAAGAACACTTGAGTATTCCTGTTACTGAGAGAACTATAGAAAACTTCCAGGCAAAGTAGAGATGGGATGGGCACAAGGAAGGGCACCAAAAAGGGGCAGGGAATGGTGGGGAAAGGTGTTTGACTGATAACTAGCATTCTATGATGACTTGCTATCATCATACTGGTATATCCAAATTGCCAGACAGGGACTGGTTTACTTATACACTAGGAACTACCAAGTATAAAGTGTTAACAGCTTAACTTTCATGAAAAGCACTTTAAAATAACATAACATTTGATTATAGTTTGGTGACTTTGATCATTATCTCCTCCAAGAAAGTAAGCTAAACAAACTCCCATGCTACAGCAGTGAGACTTTGCAGTCCAAGTGTAAAATATTTAAATGAGATTTTTAAAATAAAGTCTAGAGAGGTTGCCAGGAACTGGTGGCTCACATCTATAATGCTACCTACCTAGGAGATTGAGAGCTGGAGGATGGAGGTTTGAATCCAGCTAAGGAAGAAAAGTCCTTGTGACTCCAAAATAACCTGCAAAAATCTGGTCTAGAGGCATGGCTCAGGTACATGACTGCCAGCCAAGCAAGCTAAACAAAATCAAGGGTTTAAAAGTTCAAGCCTTTATACTGGTAGTTTACAGATGATAGTAGTTATCTAGTAATTATTCATAACTATCACATAAGTATTCTAAGTAATGCAAAAAAGGATGCAATAGCTACATAAATATTGGATCAAATGCTATTGTTTGTGATACTACAGGCCATTTCATAATAATAAACAGGCTTTTTTTTGGGGGGGAGGGTCCGGTCGTGGGGCCTGAGCTCTGGGCCTGGGTGCTGTCCCTCAGTTCTTCAGCTCAAGGCTAGCACTCTACCACTTAAGCCACAGCGCCACTTCCGGCTTTTTTTTTTTCTTCTTCTTATGTGGTGCTGAGGAATCAAACCCAGGGCCTCAAGCATGCAAGGCAAACACTCTACTACTGAGCCACCTTCCTAGTCCCAGGCTTTTATTTTATTACACTTTTGCTTTCACCATAAATTTCATTTAAAAGGCATTTAATAACAAAATGTTAGCAAAATGTTTAGAAAGAACTTTCTCTTGTTCACTTTTTTTAAAAAAATGTTATTGTAAAAGTGATGTACACAGAGAAGTTACAGTTACATGAATCAGGGTCACCCTTCCTTTGCTCTCTCCCAGTTTTTCCCTCCCATTCTCATCCACAAATTGTATAGTTCATTTTCAGCATAGTGTTTAGTTGAGTACCACTGCTGCATTTGTTCATCCTTTGTCTCTCCATTTTTTTCTTGTTCATTTTTGATGCATGAAAACCTTATGTTAGACTAGCATGAGGCTGCAATGGTTGATAGCTTTGGAAAACACCACCAAAATGTACTAAGCTGGAAGCTACACATATTCAGTCTGTGTGAATAGGACAAGAGCCAAAATACAATGCTATAGGGGTCTTTGGCTCCCTACCCAGACCTCTTTAACATCAGCTCAAGAGAAGCCCAGCTATCATTTAGAGGTGGAGGAGTTTGTTGGAATACATTGTATACATGAATAAAAATGATACAGTAAAATCCTCACTTCTTTGGCTAATGTATGCTAATTAAAAAAAAAAGGTATCCCCTTCAACCCCCCCAAAAAACCTAGTGTTTGAAGGAGCAATGACATAAGGGTAGAGACCATGTTTCACAAAAAACGGAAAACTGCCTTTTTTCAAAAGGGGGTGAGAGATTAGAAGTTTTCTGGAAGAAATAATAGAAGCCAGAAGAAAAACTATAGTTTCCTTCAGAAGAGTCAACTAGTGGAAGCAGTTCATACCTCCTTACAATCATTCATTTGTTCAAGTGAATTCATTCATCAAGTTTTAGGCAAAGGTAAACAGATCAATTATTTACGGTGGAAAATTATAGTAAGTGGCTGTGGTAAAAAACAGCAACTTACAAGGCTAGGAATATGGCTTAGTGGTAGAGTGCTTGCCTAGCATGCACGAAGCCCTGAGTTTGATTCCTCAGTACCACATAAACAGAAAAGGCCAGAAGTGGCACTGTGGCTCAAGTGGTAGAGTATTAACCTTGAGCATAGAGAAGCTCAGGGATAGAGCCCAGGCCCTGAGTTCAAGCCCCAGGGCTGGCAAAAAAAAAAAAAAAAAAAGATAGCAACTTACTAGAAAACTGGTGAGAACAGGAACAACTTTGTTTAAATTTGTTTCCTCCAACCAGTTTCTGGTTGGTAACTGTCAAAGGCAGCGTCCTTTGTTAAAGATAATGAGCAAGCAGTAGGATTTAATACTAAAGTAATGCTTTTAATTAATGTTTTATTAGATGACTATGGCCATTATCCTCAACTTCAGGCCGTCAAGAATAGAATATTTCCTAGAACGAGATTAAACTGATTTTAGTTAGTCCAATTCACACACAAAATTTGTCAACTGAGTGTAGCTATTATGATCAAGCAAGTATTTACTGCTGTATTATTCCAAAATCTGTTTAGAAGAAAAACTTGCTAATCTGGTTTAAATTCTACAACTTAGATTACCAACACAAAAAGGGACTGATGGGGCTGGAAAGGTGGCTCAGTGGTAGGGTGCTTCCCTTGCATGCATGAGGCCCTGGG